TACATATTATGTATGTATATATGCAGAGGGAGGAAGAAAGGTCTATTTCTGTAATGAACTCAGCATGAACAAGACTTTGCTCCATGAGGAGTCTAATTGCCTCTAGTCAGCCCACAGATTCATTACAGCAAAAAGGTCCCAGTGAACCAAATAACTAGTCCATTCAGAATGTGATGTTCAGGTAAAGCTGTATAGAAAGTTCATAAATGCACGAAAACCTTGTCTTTTAATCAAGAAAATGTTCCAGACTTGTATGTCTGTAGTGGAACAGTAAGACGACAAAAAAGTCTCTCTAAGTCTTTCAAAAGCCCAAGCCCTCCACTTAACAGCTTCCTAATAATCCACTTTAAGATTGTTTATTAATATTTCTATGGTTTGTTTAATCAATCATTAAAATATCAGACAATGTTTGCCTCTGTTATCCCAAATACATGACTCTGCAGAGAGATGACAGAACCTTCCAGAACAATCTTTCAAGGACTATGAGCCGTGGACACAGATTTGCCTTCTGTTCCTCTGAAGTGATGTGAAAGCTACACAGCACAACTGCCACAGCCTCTCTCTCCAAACCCAGGTTGTTCCAAGTCTAAGGACCTCCTGGTAAAGCATGGAAGCAGCGTTGATAACCATCTCTCATTACAGCCTCCCTTCAGCTCTAACAGCACCTTTACACTGCACCCTCAAGAAACCCTCTCAAATACTGCACTTAAAATGTTCACATCTCTTTGAACTTGCTTTGAGAAGTCTTGAGAATACGTAATTTTCCAGCAAAACATAAACATATCAAGCAAACCAAGAAGTACCACACTAGAGACACTGAGGAGTCGCACAATCCCGCCACAGAAAACTCCAACTCTCTCCACCCCGTTGCTATTTAGACTAGGCTTGTCTCTGCTCTGCCAAATCAATTTGATAATTATTATAATTATATACACAAGTAAAAGCGCCTGTTCAAAAACTAACACAAAACACTCATCTAAAGAAAGGAAACACAAGAGGTGAATCCAATACAAAATAATAAGTTTCCAATAAACAGTAACAGAAGCCTTTGGAATTAGAAATGCTTCATTCTACATTTAATTCAGAACGCTTTTTACTTCCTAATAAGTATTGCCCTCACATTTCACCATCTCTCCATCTCTTCCAACAACCAAATACTCTCTGCAAGTTCTTTATCATCTCTGCACCTAATGCAGTTTGAAATTTGCTTGAAAATGCTCCTTACGCTCAGCATAATTACAATGCACCAGATCAAATATTTGAATTAAAAAAGTTGGGCCCCGGAAACATTTTCATCTATTTACCATGACATGGCTTCTGTCAAAGCCATTGGTATCGATACCACCTTAAATGTATATTCAGGTATGTGCAGAATTCTGAATTACAGATTTGATTAAGCAGCATAAAAAGATTACACTTCTATTGCTGTTATGCTAAGATAAATCAGACAAGCTTCTCTTTCTTAATATTTAAAGATACCAGGCTCCAGCTGGAGAAGCTTAAAGCTTTGCACTGCTTTTATCTATTTTAAAATCTTTCTGAACAACAGCCATCAATCCAGAGAAATATATTTTCTAAGTATTCTTTCATTCCTCAACAAAAGACAGGCATTGGGAAGGTACTTAAATCCATTAAGATGCATGTAGAGTAGCCTCTAGCAACTTCCAACCTATTTAAATAAGCAGACTTTTTCTATTTCCATACAAATATTCCAGTAGTTTAGTAAACATTTTGTAGCTCAGTAGGCATCAGTGTTTGTTAATCTCATACATAAAGCATAAATTCCAACCCTGCGAGGGCTCTGTGTGCTCACAGGGCTCTGCCCAGGCATGCAGAGCATGGGCCAGACGTCTCTGTGGGATGAGGATGTTCCTCCAAGTACAGGAGTCAGTTACTGTGTCCAAATGATTCACTTGTACCATCACCTCGCAAATTCTAATTTGATAATTACGGTGATTACCCATTAGCATCTCATCATTTTTTGATGACACACAATGACTTGAGGCTAACTAGCATCTCAAGCTCGAATTTAACAAAAATGCCATGAAAAGAGGGCTGATGGCAGAGGCCAGGAGGCACAAAGAGCTGAGTAAACAAAGAGATGTGCAACAGTTTTGAGACTCTTACAGGTTCATTCTTCTAAGAAGCCCCTGTTCAGAGACAGGGCAGGGCAGTGAGTGGGGTGGGACACACCCTCAGTCTGAGGGGCCAGGTCTGGGAGCACCATTCTCAGCTGTGCACATGGAACAGGCCACAACTTTTGTCATCTCCACATCTCTTCCACCCGGGAAGTCACTCCCACAGTGAGAAGGTCTGCACTAACAACCCCAAGGTTTGAAGAGAATCCTTTATTACTCACGACAACAAACCACTGTACGTTTCATACTAATTAAATTCGCTTTGGAAAGGAAAAAGAAATCAAATAAATTTTTATATTGATTTACGTAACACAACTACAGAAGACAGAAAAGCTGAAGAGCTAAGTACAAAATGAATTTACAAGTGGTTTTATTTACAGTTTGCCTCTAGATCAGCTTTCACTTGCATGACCATTGAAGTTTAGAGAATAGTCAACCAACCTGTTGCAGCTGATACTCTTTTCTTCCATTCACCTTACAGGAGAAGATACTTAATCTGAACCAATTTATCTAATCTGCTTCATATGAACTGAGAACCTGCATTTCAGTACGCCTGAAATATTTCTTACTCCTTTAATGCTGAAATAGTTATTTTAGAAACATTAGCTGGTTATAGCACAGTAATATGATTCATTCAAAATAGCCATGGCCCATATATTTAAAATGTTCATTTTTTTATCATATAAAAAGATTGAAGTCATGTAATTCTCTCATGCATATGACCACATCATTCCATTAGAAACTTCTGTGGCTGTAGCAGAATTTCCATTTTCATGAAGGACTTTTATAAAAACTGTCATCTTCTCTCTAAAGTAAATTTTTGCATAAAAATGATGAATGTCTTAGAATCCTTTAGAATTCAGACTGCTAAAAGAACCGTAAGTTATAAATTAAAACAAATTTTGTGAAACCAAATAGAAGGCCTCTGCATCAAGACCTCCATGGTGGTTTATATGTGAAAGAATTCTTAAGAGGATTAACTATACTTTGTATATTCTGCATTATATAAAAATTAAAATAGTTTTATTTTTCATTGTTCACGTCTTCCAAACTCCGTAGTTTTATCTGCACCAATATTTCTCAGAAATAATGTATCTTATTCTGTTCACTTCCCCTCCCCCTCTTAAATATTGATGGTAAAGCTAACTTGGTGTTAGGACTTTTCTTTAGGATAGTTTGTAAACACTACGTACCTCCCTGAAATACATAGTACCTGAAATTGATAGTACTGCAAATGCTGAGTAATCTGGAAGATGCAATTGAAAAATTATTCTGTGCTATGTGCTAAACAAAAGTTTCAGTTCACTTTTAATTCAATTAGATTACCAGTTTACTACTAAACCATAGAAAACTGTTTTTATATGGCATCTGATTTCTGAATCACTGGCACTTCAAACTATCTTTTATTAATTTTTTTTCATTTTTAATGTAAATAGCAAGAATCATCGGCATTTACCTTCAAAAACAAAGCATCATATTGGCATCTATCAACAACAACTACCAAAAGAAAAACACAAAAAGTGACGTGAATCTAAAATTGCAGAGATAATTATGTCAGGTATGGCTTGTTTCGGGATAACAATACTCTGTTAGGGCTTGCAGGCCTCGGCAGAGGTAATTTGGGAATAGCAATGACAGCATAAACAAAGCACTGAGAGAGGTTTATGAGGGTGGAGTCCATATAAAACACTGGATTAAATCTCTTCTGTATCCTGCGGCTCCAAACTTTTGGAGGATGCAGCAGTAAACCCTGAGCACACAAACTACAGCAGACTTGGCTTCCAACCCCTCTTCCTCAACACACGAGCCCCATCCAGTTATTAAAACTGAATGCACCGTTGTTCCCTATGAAATAACTTGAAAACAAAGAACTAAAACACAAAGCCCATTCCCCCTTCATGGAGTATTAACTTCCGCTTTTAATAACCAGCTCCTGGTCCCACACGACACAGCCCTGCATTGTCCAGCACACACCACTTCAGCCAGACAATGCTCCCAGCAATAAAACTCAGCCCAGCAAAGAAAGTGAAAGCTGCGTTTGTTCAGCGTGTTATTTGGCGCAGCCAACTGTAATGCTTCTGCCTGCCATTTATTGTTTACTCTCTCAAAGGATTATTAAGAATTAGGCTACATTTGGCAATTTTTTTTCGAGAAGGGAATTTACATGCAAAGTGACTGACACTTGATATTTAGAGTCTATTGGTCGACTCTGACCCTTCGTTTACAAGTGACTCATTTGACTGCAAGGATCTCTGATGTGGAAATGCTCAGATACGAATCAATTGCAGTTTTTGTCTCGGGTAAATGTTACTTGGCAATCCAAAAGAAATGAACAGTGCTGAGACCGAGGTTCACATAGAATAGTGCTCATATGTTTAAAGAATTCCTTTTACATGCCCGATTTAGTTCTAGTCGGAGGATTTATGACTCCCCTTCTCCTAATAACTTATCTCGGTGCACAGCGTTTCAAACACACACACAGAGACACACACACACACAGACACAACCAGCAGTTAACTCTTTTGCTGCCTGAAAGAACAGTACGGATGTATTTAAGCAAATAATAAATGCAGGTTTGGTGCCGATGGGGCTTTTGATTCTCTGTGGGAGGTTGGGATAGGGGAAGGATAGGACGAGAAAGGGAGAGAAACATGTAGATACAGTTTGCAAATCCCTGTTCCATAAAGAAACGATTGTGTGTAAGAAAAGACCATTCCTACATGAAATCAGCTCAGTGAGAATTCTGCAGTTTACCTCTGATAAGGATAAAAGTCAAAGGGTTTCTCTGTACCCCAGCGAGATTCCCTTCCTCTTAGAAGCCAGATGCAGCATTTCTATAAACAAAAATGTCTCTAGCCCTACCTTGTGCCAGTGCTTGCAACATGTGGAGCTGAAGCAACAGAAACGCCCACCATCCCCGACAGAAGATGAAACAGAAGTTTAACTTTATCATCATTCCGCCTCGCCTGCTATTCCTTCGGGCAATAATTTCGCGATCCACCTTTCTTTCCACCGCTATTGCCTCACTGATCCCCATCGGATCCGACTGCCCGCCACTCCTGACAGCGCTTTGGTCATTGCTCATTCCGCACCGCCGGGCCGGGCTCCCCGGGGTGGGTCGGGAGCCTCTGCCCCGCAGTCTGGGGGGAAGCGAAGCCCCCGCTTCCCAGGAACGGCGGGCTCTTTGATTTGTGCTCACTGTGCCTGCAAGCCGAGAGCTGCACTCCGTGTGCCTCCCGCTATGACAGTCGCCACCTAAGTCAATGTTTCTTGTGGAGGTATTGATTGCACCAAAACAACCAGTCAGAAATGTGAAACACATGTTTCTCTGCACTGTCAGATCCGATGCCTTCAGCAGAGAGGGAGTAAGTTTATAGGCGTCAGTATTTCACTAAATCCGGATCCTTCAGCACATCGCAAACAGGAACAGGGAAAGACTGATCCATCGTAGCCACCAGCAGACAATCCATCGAGAACCTTTCATACCGCAACGCTGATGGAAACTGTTACCCCCGTGATTTTTATGAAGCGTGGTGAGTTTTCCAGCATGTGTCCCATTCTCCTGTAAAAACCCTCCAATGGAAGTGTTAAATTCTCGCAGAAGGGAAAAAAAAAAGCGTCAAGGAAAAAAAACTAATTGAAAGTATCTCGTTATTCCTTGCGCTGAGGATTTATTTCAGACAATTTCAAGATTAGCCATGCAGACAGAGTAGTCTCCAGATATCCCCGGAAAGCTCTGCATAGTTTATATTAATCCGATTTTCCTTGGGATACAAATCTCTACCGTCAATAGAAGGGTTTGAAGGGTCCTCGAGCAGGTAAATTGAGCAGCTCTGGCTGTGATTCCAGCTCGCCGTGCAGTCAGTCAGCCACAGGCCAGTGCCGGTGTCACTTGAACTCTCACGTTCAGCCGGAGGTAGGGAAAACCTTAGTTGATCCCGTCTCCCTTCTCGGAGGCTGGTGCCGCTCTCTTCCTCGCAGGGAGACCACGACAAAAATCACCTCTTAACATGGAAAAGCGCTTTTTTTTTTCAGGCCGCTCGTGGATGCAGCAAGGAAACAAACGCTCAGCTGGACAGTGTCCGGGGCGGGGGGGGAGTGAAAATCTCCCGAAACAAACAGCAACAAGGTGAAATCCTTCCCAGCTCTGCTGAGCCCTCCGTGCTGATGCAGCCCAGGGATCCTGGTTCTTCCTCCGAGCGTCTCTCGCTCACAGGCGCTGTAAACACAAGGGGGAAAGCGCGA